ATTTCCAATGCTTTTCTTCATGGTAAGCTTGAGGAGGAAGTGTTTATGTTACAACCACCTGGGTTTGTTTATTCCTCTCATCCTACTCGTGTTTGTAAATTGAAGAAGGCCTTGTATGGTCTTAAACAGGCCCCAAGGGCCTGGTATTCCACTTTTTCAGCTTTTCTTCTGTGTCAGGGATTCATTAATAGTCATTCAGACTCCTCTCTTTTTGTTCAAAAGACTACCTCCCATATTACTATCATTCTCATTTATGTGGGTGATATCCTTTTGACTGGTAGTAATTTTGGTCTTATTGATCAGCTTCTTCTTCAAATGCACAAGGTTTTCTCTATGAAAGAACTTGGCGAAATTTCATATTTCCTTGGTATCTCAGTTCAAGATTAGGCTCATGGTTACTTTTTATCTCAGCAAAAGTATGCCACTGACTTACTCTCCAAAGCTGGCATGCTTGGCTGTAAACCATGCTCTACTCCATTGGTTGTCTAGCCCTCTTTACCTGCTATTGACTCCTTGGCCTTTGTCAATCCTTCTCTTTATCGCAGCATAGTTGGTGGCTTGCAATATCTTACAATTACTAGGCCTGACTTGGCTCTCGCAGTAAATCAAGCCTGTCAGTTTATGAGTTCTCCTACCAATGGTAATTTTTAAGCTGTTAAACGCATACTTCGTTATGTAAAAGGGACCATCTCTCATGGTCTTAGTTTTACAACTGGTCTCCTTCAACTGCAAGCATTTTTTGATTCCAACTGGGTTGGGGACACTTCTGATAGGAGGTCCACCTCTGGGTTCTATGTTTTTCTTGGCTCGAATTTGTTTTCATGGTTTGCTAAGAAACAAAGCACTATGTCCAGATCTTCAACTGAGGCCAAATATCTATCCTTAGCTCACACTACAGTAGAGTTATGCTAGTTGCAACAATTGTTAAAGGATTTGTCTATTCCCACCTCTGTTCCCACTCTCTAGTGTGATAATATTTCTGCCATGGCTTTGGCCTCCAATCCCATGTTTCACTCTCCTTCCAAGCATATTGAAATCGATTGCCATTTTGTTCGAGAAAGGGTTGTTGCTAAGCTACTTGATCTGAAATTTGTTCCCCCTAAACATCGAGTTGCTGATCTTTTTACTAAACCATTGGCTTCCTCTCGTTTTCATTTTCTTAAATCCAAGCTAATGGTGCTTTCCGACCCCATTAGCTTAAGGGGGGATGATAAGAGTACTGTAACTCAAGCTAAAATAATAGCTCAGAGTGTAGTATCGACGAAGCAGCTCAGATCAAAATCCTTGCAACAACCAAAGGCTTGTGACTCAAAGCTCAATGAAGATAGCAGCACCATCATGACGCATAACTGTGCAACAGATATGGCAGTTACTTACTTAGTCAGTTTGAGAGTTTGTTAGGCTGTTAGATTGTATATGTATGTATAGTTGGTTAGAATAGCAGAGATAGGTGATTGTATAAAAAGACCTTTGTAATTGAGATATGAAGAAATGGAAATGGAATAAAGAATTTCATCAATTTCTCAAATGTAGTCATTCATACTTGTATGAAAATATAAGGAGAATTTTAATTCAATGTAATATTTTAAAAAAATTATAAATAATGATAAACTTTATACATATTAATAATTAAAAATATAAACTTTTTCATAATTTTGTAATATTTTTTTTGATAAGCCCACTAATAGATAATTTTCCCAAAATATAATCATTTGCAGTTATTAATATTTCTTTAATTTTTAACAATTTAGTGCATAAATTAAATTCATCTTCATCCATCAAGAGGGGTGAATAGGACAGTTAAGAGAAAATCAATACCAATTTTAACAATTCACTAGTGATGAATTGATCTCAAGAAAATTTAAAATGTAATTGTTTAACTAATCAATCAATCACCCCAACAGTTAGGCTTCATTTGGGATAAACTGTTTTAGCATAATTTTTTTGGCTTTTTTACTATATTTTTGTAAGTAAATTAAAATTGTTTATATAATTGTTGTTCTTGTTTAATAAGAATTGTAAAATTGGAATAAAAGATATTATTAAGGAAAAGTGAAAGGTTTGGCCTAGTAGGTGCAACTTGGGGTCTCAGGGGGTGTGCTCCCTCCAGGTCTTAGGTTCCACGTGGAGGGGGAGTTTTGCGTGGATCCGAGATTAGTCGACACCCGGTCATCAAAAAAAGGAAAAGTGAACTTTTTTTTATAATAAATTATAAAAAATAATACATAATTGTCTACATTGAAATTTAATAGAATTCATAAATACTCTTGAAAATAAGATTTATTGATTTTTGTTTCAAACTCTATGTTTGAACAGCCCGCGTTGCTCTAGTTTCCCTTGATAATTGTTAGAGATAGGATAGAACGGAAACCAACTTGGTGGCAAGGAGATTTCTAAGAAATGTGATTGAAAATAAATAGAAATTATTCTATAGGATTGGTTTATATTCTCTGTGATTTGCCCTTCGAAGTGTATGGGGTCATATAACTAATTTTACGTATATTTTCTCATTGTGATAAGATAGGCACACAACCAAAAATTATCTATTAGGTTCAGAATATCACGTGTCCATGTATTTGTCCAATAATATTCTATAATTTCTCCATTATTTTCTTATTTTTGAAACTATGTATTTATTTAGCCCTTGCTATTCGTCAGGCACATGGCCAACTTGAAATTCCTGCAAAATATAATAATTCCTCGAATAACGACCTGGTAGAACGGATCCACTAGGTAACTTGGAAACAAGGGAATACTTTGAAATTGATACATGTTGAACTTTCAAAGTGGCTCAACTCATACTCACACTGCCCAATTTTATCAGTTTGAAACCCATTTAAATCCATAAAACATGTTATAAATGAGTTTCATTTATAAATGGGGAAGCCCATCATTTTAAACTGCTTAATTGGATAATAAGAAATTTAATTCACATAAGCATCGTTAGATGCACTTTTCTGTACAAGTAGTATTATTGGAAAAGTTAGTATTATTGGAAAAGTTAAAGGCCAACAGAACTGTAAAGTTCATAGATAGGGTTGGCATTATTTTCTATAGTTTCAAATATAATGCAGAAAAATTGTCCCATAAATAGCTGGAAAAAAGAAAAAAAGAAAAAGAAAGGAAAGTAGAAGAAGAAGAAGAAGAATGATTGATGATTGCTTTGGTTTTTTTGTACAAAGATTATTTATTCCAAAGTATGAAGAAGGCATTTAAGAGTTAAGTCAAACTTGGAGTAGTTCACTCTACTTGAGGGGGGAAAATGAATAATATGCATATATGAATTAGAAGAAGAAAAAAGAAACATAAAAAAGAGTAGAAGCTATTAGGCATTAAATCAACAGCACTTTCTTCTTCTTGAACAAGCTGTCCAATTTGAAGTAGCTGGAAAATAACCTCCATATGCTTCTCTTTCTTCTTCTTGAATAAGCTGTCCTTAAGGGCAAAATTATGAGTCATAATTAAGTCATAACTAACACCACAATGAGTCATAACCAACACAACTGGACATAACCAAAGACAACAAAGATCATAACTGGGCATAGAATTTTCCAACACCTCAAAAAGGGTACGTATTATAGAATTTTCCTCTTTTTTAATGTTTATAATAGTCATTTGATAGTTGATTGTATTTGGGAGATTAGCAGAGAAACTACAACAATATAAAAAGGCAGAGTAGCTTCTCAGGATATAATGAATGACAATTCTAGTACACCAAACTACCACCAGTTGGGGAAAAAAAAAAAAAAAGAACCCCACTGTGTATGTGTGAGCCAAGTTTCCCTCATTCATCCAATCGTGTCATCTACAATTAGCAATTATTTCCATGGTTGTTTTCTAGCTTATGAACAACATTTCTAATCAATACTGTCCATATCGCCATTTTCCTACTATAATTAATCACAAAATTCCCATGTCTTAATAAGTGCTAGTCGATATCTCCAAGGTGATCCCTTAATTGCCATTGAATTGAGAATGTTTGACCTCCCTACAAGCAAACTTTGCAACATTTCAACAAGGAGAAACACGACATTATTTTCAATGTGAATTCTCTGTCCAATACCCAACATTTCAATCATTCAAAAATGATTAAGAATGTACCAAGAGGAATGGTTTCAGTAGCAACTTTGCATTTAAAACTTCAAAACTTCTCAAGGTTCAGTCTTCTGTGACAGAAATCTAATTTAAAAACAACTACATACAAAAGTGCAAATCTCTAAAGGTAGTACATGATGTGAAAAAAGAAACAACAAAGAGTCATGACACGAAACTCTTATTTAACTCAGCGCTTTAAGAAATCTAGACAGCTTAACAAAGCTTTAGACTTCACCAGAACAGCAAGGGTAAAGCTTTTGAGGTGATCCTGCATAGCTGCTATCTGGATGCACATACACTCAAATGCAGCAGCTAGGTAAGAAACCCCTTCAATTGGACACCATTGCTTTATTGTGCTACTAAATGGAATAGATCTAGTTTTGAATAAAAACATTAGGAACTCAACTATAGCTTATGGATAGAAACCATAAAAGATAATTCAACAAAGTAATGCTTCAAATATTATTTCCACTTACCTACTAACACCATTTGTTTATGCTGATTCTTTTTTCACTGCATCAGTGGGTACTCTTCTTAGACCTTTTCACCTTCTTATATTGTCCTCCTTCAACAATTTTCATAAGCCATTCTGGTATTCAAGTTACAAACATAAGATATCCCATAACGATTCCAAATACAAATCCACATTCATATCCCATCACTACAACTTTCCAGTTAAATTCGCTCACAAAGTTTTAATTTGCTTCTTCTTCATTATTTTCACATTTCTCTGATAAGGGAAATCCACACAAGACCAAGTTCCCACAATATGAATCTTTTTCAAATGTATTAAACTGGCTCCCTTGAGGAATTGGTCACAATAGTTGATTAACTGAAAGGTTTAGTACCTCAAGAAACATCAAACTTGTCAACTTGTTTGAGGATAGATCCAATGATTCAAGGCTTTACAAATTTCCAAGTGAAGTTGCGATGTGGCCTTTGAGGTTGTTATGAGATAAGTTAAGATCTTGAAGTGAATTAAGCCTCCCAATGGATTTCAGAATCTCTCCTATAAATTTGTTCCTCGATAAATCAATGATTGAGATGATGGTTAAGATTCTTGAAAATTCAATCTCATGTCCTTTCATAATCACCACCACATAATTGTAATAATAGATATCACCCATGTATTTCAATTTCATTGCATGTTCATCGACATTCATCATTGCTTCAAATTTTTCAATATAATTGGTTGGCAAAAGGCCACTGAACTCATTGTAAGATATGTCAATAATCCTCAACTTAGTGAAAGGAACTTTACTCTTGGTCTTAAAGTCTATGTGACCATGAAACCTATTAAATCTCAAGACCAGACCTGCAATTCCAGAAGAGTTCCTAACCAGTGGGGGAATGTATCATTTATCTTGTTTATTCCAAGAACTAGAACTTCCAAGTGTTGACAATTGAGCAAAGATCGCAAAACTTGTCCTTCAATATGGTTTCCATTCATGTTAAGATTCCTCAGCATGTTACCTGTTGTAAATGCTGCAGTAAAGGTTCCATGAAAGCTATTCATCCCTAAATTCATCACTAGGAGACAATTGCTGAAGTTTCCAAAACAATGTGGAATAATACCACTGAAATTGTTATTAGACAGATCAAGAACTTTAAAGGAAATTAAAGTCTAGCTACTGCAAATTAAAGGAAAGATTTCTCCTGTCAATTTATTGTTTGAGATGGAGAAAGCAATTGTGGTGATAGGTGGAATGGTGTGAATCTCCGATCCTCAAGGCACGTGGGGCGTGCAGAAGTAGAAGAAGACCATGATGATGAACATGTAAGAACTAGAGAAAATGAAAGAAACAACAGAAATTGATGAAGCAATATTTGCCAACTCATTTCTCTTTATGGGAATCAAAGATATGAAAATGAATACGTTGGACATTTGATGATGGAGAAGGATAAGAGAAAATGGATTCTTCTTATACACACTGCTAAGCAACAGTAAGTCTTTCTCTGGTGAAGCCCGTCAAGTAAGGCAACCATGTAAATTGTAATTATCCACTCTTCAAACAAGCTTGTCTTCCATCAATGTTTGGTACGATGAAAAATGAAAATCAACTGAAACATTTTTCATTGACCATGAAAAGAAGTTTATTTGGGTGAAAAATATTTTTTGAACTAAACTCCTGTCCTACTAACGACATGAGACGATCTCCACCCCCACCACCCTACCACTATTACCGCCTACACTACCACCACAATTTTTGCCCCGTCACTGCCACTGCCACTATCTTACCCACAATCACTAGCACCTTAATTTTAAGGTCAGAATCAAATGTTAAAAAGTATTTGTTTTTTTATTTGTAATAAACGTTTTCAATAACAAAATATATTTTACCGAAACAGATAGAGTGGTAATTCAAGTGGCCCCAAAGCTAGAAAAGGTTGGCCATAAGTCATGAAAAAAGTTGGAGTTGGTATTACTTAAGGAATTGCTCGAGAGATGGAAGAAAAACCAACCTGGGTAGGTGGGATATTACTTAAGGAATGTGGCTGGAAATAAGTAGTTTGAGGTGGACACATGTTGAACTTTCAACGTGGCCGAACTCATACTGTGAGAAAGAGAGAGAGAGATTTCCAAGTCATCCAATACAAGGTCTACCCTCAGGCTCTGCATATTAACTTTATACAAACCTTTTCCATCCTTGTGTGACAATTTTTCATTTTAATTTTGATGAAATATTGAGATATGATCCCATGCACTCATTTTTATAATCAAAATTTTCAATTCTTCAGAGCTCCAAATTAAGTTATAGATGTGAAGAGTCTACTTTCAAGATAGACATTTACGCTGTGTTTGGTTGGGAGATTTGAAAAAGGAAAAGGTAAGTGAAATGTGAATAAAATATACTTACATTTCACTAAGTTTTACACACCTTTTCCCTTTCCCTTTCCCTTCTAAATCCCTTCTCAAATCCCCTAACTAAACACGGCATTAAGGGGGGGAAAATTTAACATTGGGGAATGAAGTCTTGTTACATTTACAATGAAAATTGATTGATTTGTATAGCCAATTTCTTTGCATGCAATTTTAGGAAATTTTAACTAAGGGTGCAACTCAAGCATATTCAGTTGGGTTCAGGGTTGCCCAAGTTGTGCTTAGAGTTGTCTAAACCTTCCCAAGTCCGACCTCTAGCCCAATTTTGTGCGCTCAAGGCTGGCTTGGGGATAAGAAATTGTTGCACGTAAAGTTAAGGAAAAAAAAACATAAGTGGTTTCATTCACTAATTATAGTTTTTTAAGTACAACCAACCAGGTGATACGAAATTGGCATGAACAACTAAACATAAAATCCTAAAACGCTCCTACTCATGACAACAATAGCACCAACAAAAAATTTATAATTGGAGTAAAAAACATAGGGACAATTAAAAAAAAAAAAAACCTAGGTTTGACCCTTCTAACAAAATAAATTTTGAGTGTTTAACTTTGTTAATTTAAACCATATTATGTTCATTTGTTTTTAATTTAAACCATATGTCTAGTTTTGTTATGTAAAATGGATGGGAAATGGTATTTTAGTTATTCAAAAAAATGAGGAAGATGTTGTGTATGGTGATATAGTACAATAGGGTATATATTCAAGGTAAATAAACATGTGGCATAATATGATTGGAGCTAGGACTAAATTGACTCAAATTGACAACTTTTAGGATCAAAATGATAAAAATTAAAACTTAAGGGACTAAAATGATAAGGAACGACTTTAGGGCCTAAAATTATCTTTTAGTCATATTGTTCCCGTTAACAATATAGACGGACATTAGAGTTATGACCAAATTGATTCAAATTGACAATTTTGAGAACCAAAATGACAATATGACTAAAAGATAGTTATGACCAAATTGATTCAAATTGACAATTTTGAGAACCAAAATGACAAAATTGAAACTTAAGGGACTAAAATAAAAAAGATTGCATACTTTGGATATTAAAACTGCCTTTTATCCAAGTTTTGATATTTGGAAAAGAGAAAACTAGTTCACCCACTTGGTAGTGCCCAAGAAAACTATCCTTATTTTCTGTATTTTCTTTCTTCACAACTTCACAATTTTTTTCATAAATTAAAGATCGAAATACAATCTTAAGATTATCCAAGAAATATCTGATATCCATTCATTTAAATTGTTTTTAGAAATGTTGAAGTTAGTAAGTTGTGCAATCTCTAATGGACCCTAAAAAGTGGATGAATATATCTTATAAGCTTAAAGCTAAACTAAAATGATATCATTTTAGGATGTGTAGTTTAAAATAAAAATGTAATATTGTAATGTCATTTTACTTTAATTTTAATGTTATGTTGTTGAATTATGTATTTCACAGACATGTTTTACTGTGGTAAAAATCATAACAAAATCATTATTAAAAAAAATGGCAATACTAAAAAGTTGCAAAATAAGAGAGGTACAAACTACTTAAGGATCAAAGATTGTTGATTGAATTAGGTAGTTGGTCAGAAAAAAATTAGTTTGAGAAGAAAAATTATCCAATGCTCCTACAGATAATTCAAAGAAAATGGCTTCTTTCCAATCTGAATATTGACTAAAGAATGTTGTTTGAGCAATCAGATTGTCTACTTATTAACATATTAAATATTGGTTCAAGGTTTTTATTTGGATCTAATTGTTAATTAGTAAATAAGCAGACAAAATCTTAACCATTAATTTATAAAAAGTTTCAATGCGACAAGCATCTATTGCTTGTACTAAACTAAACGTCCAGTTTGAATATTCGGATTGGTTGTGGAATTTGGACATCCAAACTGGAGGAGCTCCGCCCATAGCCAGAAACTGAAGGGAACAACAAGACACATTAAGATCAGTTGACTTACAAATAACTGCCATCCTCTTTTTTAATGTTTATAACAATCATTCAGTTAATAGTTTATTGTATTGGGCAAAGTTGGCAGAGAAAATACAACAATATAGCACACCAAACTATCATAATTGAAAAAAGTAAACCCCACTATTGATTGTATTTCCATGACTCTTTTCTCGCTTATGAACAACATTTCCAATCAATACTCTTAAAATCGCCATTTTCCTACTGTAATTAATCACAAAATTCCCACGTTTCAATAGAAACAAGTGCTAGTCAATATCTCCAGTGTGATCCCTTAGTCGCCATTGAATTGGGAATGTTTTTACCTCCCAACAAGCAAACTTGGCAAAATTTTAAAAAGGAGTAACACATCGATGATTTTCAATGCAAATTCTCTATCAAATAGCCAACAATTTTGTCATTCAAAAATGATTAAGAATGAAACAAGGGGAATGGTTTGAGTTGTAACTTTTAAGATTTTTAAAGTTAAAAAATTAGCAAGGCCAAGTTTGACTGAAATCCAATTTAAAAGTAGCTATATACAAAAAGTACAAATCTTTAAAGGTTGCTACATGATGCGAGAAAAGAAACAAGAAAGAGTCATGATATGCAACTCTTATTTAACTCGTGCTTTAAGAAAACTAAACAGCTTAACAAAGCTTTAGAACTCAATACAGCAACAATGGTAAAATCTTTGGAAGTGATTCTGTATAGCTGCTATCCGGATGCACATGGAGTCAAATGTAACAGCTACATGAGACACCCCTTCAAGTGGACACCATTGCCTTATTGTGCTACTTAATGGAACAGATCTAGTTTTGAAATAAACACATTAGCAACTTAATAATCGCATATACATAGAAACCATAAAAGATAATTCAACAAAGTAATGCTTTAAAAACAAATTCTACTTACCTAAATGACGCCATTTGTTTTTGTTGATTTCTTCCTTTACAGCATCAGTTGGCACTCTTCTTGGACCTTTTCACCTTTTTATATTGTTTTCCTTGAACAATTTTCATCAGCCATTCTGGACTTCGAGTTAGAAACATAAGATATCCCATAATCATTCCAAATACAAAGCCACATCCATACCCCATCACTACAACTTGCCAGGTAAATCCACTTGACTTGTCTGAATTCTTGTCTTGTTGGATTGTTGGTGGCGGTGGCAGTGCCTGTAGTTCCTTGCATTTCTTTGACAAGGGGATTCCACATAAAGCCAAGTTCCCACTATATGAATCATTTTCAAATGTATTAAACTGGCTTCCTTGAGGAATTGGTCCCGCTAGTTGGTTGTCCGAAAGGTTTAGTACCTCAAGAAACATCAAACTTTTCAATTGTTGAGGAATCTCCCCAACAAACTTGTTTGAGGAAAGACCCAATGATTCAAGGTTTTTCAAATTTCCAAGTGAAGTTGAAATGCGGCCTTCAAGGTTGTTATGGGATAAGTTAAGACCCCGAAGTGAATTAAGCCTCCCAATGGATTTCGGAATCTCTCCTTGGAATTTATTTCTTGAAAAATCAATGATTGATAAGACTTTTAAAATTCTTGATAATTCAATCTCATATCGTTTAATCATCACCACCACAGAATCTTGATAATAGCTATCACCCATGTATTTCAATTTCATTTCATGTTCATCAACATTCATCATAGCTCCAAATTGTTTGATATAATTTGTTGGCAAAAGGCCAGTGAACTCATTGCAAGATATGTCAATAATTCTCAACTTAGGAAAAGGATGTTTGCCTTTGGTCTTGGAGGTGCCTATGTGACCATGAAACCTATTAAATCTCAAGACAAGAACCAGCAATTCTGTAAGAGTTTCCAACCAGTAAGGGAATGTATCGTTTATCTTGTTTTTTCCAAGATCTAGAACTTCCAAGTATTCACAATTGAGCAAAGATCGCGGAACTTGTCCTTCAATTTGGTTGCCATTCAAGTTAAGATTCCTTAGCGAATTGCCTTTGGTAAATGTTGCAATAAAGGTGCCAGAAAAGCTATTGATCCCTAAATTCAGCACCGAGAGACTATTGCTCAAGTTTCCCAAACATTGTGGAATCAAGCCACTCAAACTGTTATTAGACAGATCAAGAAATTGAAGTGAACTCAGACCGCAAATCAATGGAGGGATTTCCCCGCTTAATTTATTGTTTGAGATAGAGAAAACAATTGTGGTGTTAGGTGGAACAGGGAGTGGTCCTTGGAGTAAGTTGGAGTGCAAGTCAATATACTGTAGATTCTTCCATGGAAGATGCTCTAAACTTGTAAGGAAATTATCTGAAAGATCTAAATTTTGCAATGAATCTTTCCCCACATTGAATAACCATTTTGGAACTTCACCATGAATTTGGTTGTTTGAAAGGTCTAGAGAACGCAATTTGGCTTGTTCTCTCAAGAAGTTTGGGAATTCTCTCAAGTTGCAAGAAGCTAATCCTACAGTGTCAAAGTTGGTCAAGGTAGAGTTGACATTGTTGTTGATGTTCAATGAGAGACCATTATATGAGAGATCAAGAAAGATCAGATTTTTAAGCTTTAGAAGCTTATCTAGATCCACTACACCACTTAAGTTATTTGATGAAACCCACAAGCATGTTAGGTTCTGGAGTTCATAAACTAATCCTGGAATTGGTCCATGTAGCTTATTGTTTCTCAATTCTATCTCAACCCGTGAAGGCAGAGCAAACAACGAAGATGGTATTGTCCCATTGAGTGAGTTATAATTCAAATAGAGAGAAGTTAGTTGGCTCATGTTGCCAAGGGAATCCGGTATTTGACCGTTCAAATTGTTTCCGGAAAGATCCAAGTTAGTAAGTTGGCTCATGTTGCCAAGGGAATCTGGTATTTGACCGTTCAAATTGTAGCTGGAAAGAGCCAAGAGAGTAAGTTGGCTCATGTTGCTAAGGGAATCCGGTATTTGTCCGTTCAAATTGTTTCCGGAAAGATACAAGCTATTAAGCTTTGCAAGGTTTGACATTGATGAGGGGATTTGACCGCTGAAACTTTTAGACGAGAACTGTAAATCGGTGGTTTTTGTAAGGTTCCAAACAGAAGCTGGAATGGACCCTGAAAGGTTGCAGTAGAAGAGGGACAAAATATTCAAGGCTTTAAGATTGCTGATTGATTCAGGCAATTGGCCAGAAAAACTTACGTCGCCAAGTACAAGAAACTGAAGGGAACTAGTTGCATCAAAGTATGGAAATTTACCTATGAGGTCCCGATTTCCCCATACATAGAGCTCTCGTAGGTTTGAAAAGTGAAAAATGTTTTCTGAGAATTTCCCACCAGTTGACAATTGCGAAGACTGAGAGATGTCAAAGAAGATGGATTTAGCAAAGCATGAGGTAAAAGTGAAGAGATATTCAACGAATCAAGGTGTAGTTCTCTTAATTGGGTTAGGTTTCGAAGGAGCATATTGAAAGTGTGTTGTTCAAGTCTCACCGGAGGAGAAGAAGAATAACCATAAGGATTATAATTCATAAAAGAGAGGTCAAGGGAAACCAATTTGGACAGATGGCAGATTTTTGAAGAAATTCGGCCAGTAAAATTAGAGTAAGAGAGGTTGAGATGGGTCAAACTTGGAAATGAGCCAAAATCACGTGAAATTGTAGAGAAATTGAAGTCATTGAAGCCAAGATTGAGGGTTTGGAGGTGACGAAGGTGGAAGAGGGTGGTGTTGGGTTGGATGGTGCCCTGAAGGTGGCTGCAACTGAGGTCAAGTCCAATCACATGACCATTCGACCAGTCGCATGTGACCCCCTCCCACAAGTAGCAATCACTACTCTCATTCCAAAACACCATTTTAGGATCAGAATCAGATTCACAACGTGGAGAAGAGGCATTAGCAGTTAAATGTTGTTTTAAATTGGAGAAGTGAAAATCTCTGGTCCTCAACGCAGGTATGGCGTGCACAAGTAGAAAAAGAAGAAGAAGACAAGAGAAATAACAGAAGAAATTGATGAAGAACAAACAGAAGCCAACTCATTTTGTTTTCTTACAGGTAGAAGGATTCGAAGAGATATGAGAAGGAGAGTAGTTTGATGGATTGTGATGGGAAGGAAGAAATGTATTACTCATTCTTATACACACTGCTGAGTCTTTCTATGGTGGTGGTTGGTGGTCAAGCATGGCAACTACTTAATTTTTTTATCCATCAGCATCATGACTTCTAAGTTTGCAACAGCTAGTCTTTGTCTTTAATTTCAGTGGCCCCAAAACTATTAGTAACGGTTTTCCATAAACCACATGGGAAATTATATGAGTAATCTTTACATTTTGTTTTTTATGCCATTTTTAGTTTGAATAACTTTGATAAGTCCAATTTTGAATTTTAATTTTAAATTTTGTGTTAATTTAGTTCAAATAATAATACTGATTAGGGTTCTTGAAAGAAAATATTACTGAATTGGTTGAGATTGACTCATTGAATTGAACAAGTTTATAATTTTTTATCTATAAATGCATCACACGTGCCATTTATGTGTCCATTTTTTATCCAAAAAAACTAAAAGCTATAATTAATTGGACTAAATTGAGACAATTATAAATTCATATCAAAATCAAATCCATTGAAATTATAAAATCAAAAATGATATAAAAGTAAGAATTACTAATATAATTTGTCTGAATAAATTAAAAGTTGGCAATTTTGAAATTGTTTTGCTTTTTTATAGCATAAGTTTAAGATTCATTATTTTTTTATTGTCCCAAATTTTGAAAAATAAATTTGGCAGGCTATTAATTAAAAGTGACGATTCATTTTATTGAAAAATCGATAATCACATTCTAGAAATTTACATAGTCCAAAATAATATAGTACTCAAAATACAAAGACAAGTGGTCCAAGTACTTTGCCCAAATATATTTTAAGCGTTGATTCTAGCAGTGGTCCCAAGGCAAGTCAACAAGTTTGGAAGTAAGTGAAGAAAAGGCTGTAGTTGGAATTAGAAAGCAAGAGTGAATGGAACATTTTGAGACTGAAATTGTTAAAGAAATAGAAGACAAACAAACATTGGGTTGGTGGGATAAAGAGAGAAATATTTCAAAGTCATCCAACCAATACAAGGTCTGGCCTCTAGCTCTTTATGTTAAATAAGTCAACTTTAATCAAACTTTTTCCATCATTATGTTATAGTTTTTTCCATTTTTATTTTAGTTAAATATTGATCTTATGTACTCATTTTATGATCAAAATTTTCATTTCATTAGAGTTTCATATGAGATTATAAATGTGAAGAGTCTACTTATAAAGCGGTTGTTTAGATTATGAATTTAGATAAAGATTTAAAAAGAAAAAGGGAAAGGAAAATAAAGAAAAAATTTAACTTATTTTTATTCATATTTTATTTCTTTTTTCCTTTTTTTTTTTATTTTTGTTTTCCTTTTCAAATCTCTATTCAAAAATGAGTTTATGTTAGTTTGTAAATAACATTTTTTTTTCAAATAAAATTAATTGAAAAAAAAATTATTAGTAAAATTTTTAAATTTTTGTTTAAAAACCAATATAAACTCATTTTTTGAATTTACGTTTTTCTTCAAATTTACAAATTGAGACAACCATTTATAAACCAAAAAAATTATTAAACAAGTTTTTATGATAGTTTTTAAAATTTTTGTAAATATAAATTGAAAACTGAAAACGAAATGGTTACCAAACATGCCTCAGATGGTAAAAATGTCGTAAAATTAACAAATAATTAAATAAGTTACCAACGTAAGAAATGACTTATCAAAAGATTTTTAGAATTTTTTTTTAAAAATTAAAAATTAATTTGGTTAAGAAATAAAAAATAAAAAATAATTATCATTTAAGGGTAAAAAATAATTATCATTTTAACTTTTGGACAGGTTATATACATACGTATGATTGTTTCAATTTAATTTGTAAAAAATTATTTCTAATCACTCGAAAAATAAAAATTATATAAAAATGATTTATAGTTACAGTTACAAAAATTATATAAATTATTTGCTATTATAAATTATTATTATATATATTTAATCATTATTATACGTAAAAATTATATTGTTTCAATTATATAGTTGACGTGCGTGAGTGTTGTGGGTGTGTGTGTGTCAAAGTGTGAGAGAGAGATAGAGAGAGAGAGAGAGAGAGAGAGAGAGTGAGTGAGAATGAAGAGTGAGTGCAACGTTTTGTGTTCTATTGAAAACGTGTTTTCAAAACACGTTTTTACATTTTTATTAAATGCGCGATTCCTAATCACGTTTTCTAAAAAAAAAAAATTACTTAAAAACATAGTTTGTAATCACGCTTTTTTAATTAAAAGCGTGGTTTGTAACCACGCTTTTAGGATTTTACAAATTTTTCACGGGAGGACCACAAAAACGGTAAAAGCGTGGTTTGTAACCACGTTTTAGCCTATTTTGGGAATTCCGTCCAAACTAAGCCTAGTTTGGAAAATAGCTTGGTATTTTGACTTATTTTGGGAAAAGCCCCAATTTTTTATCCATCAGCCATCATGACTTTTAAGTTTGGGGCTTTTCCCAAATTAAGCCAAATTAGCAACTTATTTCCCAAACTAGGTCTAGTTTGAACGGAATTCCCAAACTAGGCTAAAACGTGATTGTGAACCACATTTTCACCGTATTTGTAGTAATTGCGCGGAAATTTTGTGAAATCGTAAAAGAGTGGTTACAAACCACGCTTTTAATTAAGAAGACGTGGTTACAAACCATGTTTTTAAATTAATCATAAAACGTGGTTTTAAACCACGCTTTCACTGTGCTTTTAAATAAATTTTTATTTTTTTCATAAAAGCGTGGTTAAACCACGCTTTTACTGTTGACTAAAGATAGCGTGGTTATCATCAACGTTTTTATTTGAGAGTAATAGTGCTATTTCTAGCCACGCTTTTAAAATATATTAAAATGTGATCCAAATAAGATTTGAGTTCTCCGTAGCTCAAATGGTAGTGCATTTGTTTTGCCTGGCAAAGGTGCGGGTTCAATCCACGGCATCTCCAAACGATTGCTATTTTTCAAATTAAATTCAACTCTTTTTTTTTTTTTTCCCCTTCCACTCACTCTATTCTTTATATATTTATTATGTAATTTTTTTATCAAAAAAAAGTAAAACGTTTGTTTGGTTAACTAAAAAAATTCTCAATAAAATATAATTTTTTTTCAAAATGTCAACATAATTGTTTAAAAAGTATTCAGTGTGTTTGGTTTGAGTTTTTTTGGATTTAGTTATTTGAAAACTGAATTTTTTTATTTTCGTATTTTTTTGTTTTTAGTGAATATTTTTAAAATTTTAAACATTTTTTTTTTTACTTTTTTAGATGCACCTTAGTTAGATGTATCTAAAAAGTAAAAAATTTGTAAAAAAATATTTTAAACAATTAATAAATACATAAAAATACAAAAAATGTACTGAAAAAATGTATTTTGAAAAAGAATACATTTTAAAAATATTCACGAAAACTATTTTTTCAATACATTTTTTGTATTGAACTAAATTGGGACAATTATAAAACTAAAATATTCACACGTGCCATTTATGTGTCCATTTTTTATCCAAAAAAACTAAAAGTTATAATTAATTGGACTAAATTGAGACAATTATAAATTCATATCAAAATCAAATCCATTGAATTTTAAAATAAAAAATGATATAAAAGTAAGAATTACTAATATGATTTGTCTGAAGAAATTAAAAGTTGGCAATTTTGAAATTGTTTTGCCTTTTTATAGCATAAAAAGTTTAAGATTCATTATTTTTTTATTGTCCCAAATTTTGCAAAATAAATTTGACAGGGTATTAACTAAAAGTGACGATTCATTTTATTGAAAAATCGATAATCACATTCTAGAAATTTCATAGTCCAAAATAATATAGTACTCAAAATACAAAGACTAGTGGTCCAAATAGTTTGCCCAAATATATTTTAAGCGTTGATTCTAGTAGTGGTCCCAAGGCAAGTCAACAAGTTTGGAAGTAAGTGCAGAAAAAGTTGTGGTTGGAATTAGAAAGCAAGAGTGAATGGAACATTTTGAGACAAATTGTTAAAGAAATAGAAGACAAACAAACTTTGGGTTGGTGGGATACAGAGAAATATTTCAAAGTCATCCAACCAATACAACGTCTAGCCTCTGGCTCTTTATGTTAAATAAGTCAACTTTAATCAAACTTTTTCCATTATTATGTTATAATTTTTTCCATTTTTATTTTAGTTAAATATTGATCTTATGTACTCATTTTATGATCAAAATTTTCATTTCATCAGAGTTTCATATGAGATTATAAATGTGAAGAGTCTGTTTATAAAGCAGTTGTTTAGATTATGAATTTAGATAAAGATTTACCCTTTGTATTTGTTGTATCCGGACTTGGGTTCCGTGGAGTTAGTTGTTGTATATATCTTGTTTACATCCTTTTCCCTTTGTATTTGAGTCTTGGGTTGTGTTGGGCAGGTTTGAAACAGGTTGGTTGAGCTTAGGAACCAAAAGTAGTTGCCCAGATTTTTGCCTTCACGCTCGAGCGGGCCCTTCGTTGTTGCTTCTCCGCTCGAGCGGGAGTCTTGACGCTCGAGCGTGATTTTCCATCTCCCAGTATTTCCTCTGCCGTGTTGGGCGCTCGAGCGGGAGTTTTGACGCTCAAGCGTGAGTTTGTGTGTGACGCTCGAGCGGGGAGTTTTGCGCTCGAGCGGGGACCTGGTTCAGCAAAAAGTTCTGAAAGTGTGTATCTGCCGCTCGAGCGGGATTTTTGACGCTCGAGCAGGAGTCTGTGAGTGACACTCGAGCGGGGGTTTCTACGCTCGAGCGGGGCAACTCTTATATAA